GCCCCCCCCACGCGCCGCCGGAGGGCCGGCCAAAGCCAGCCGCCAAGGTCAGCAGCAGTCCACCGTCTCTGGTGGCTCTGGGAGGCGGGGGCATGCCAGTTTCCAGAAACCCTGGCGAGGTCGGCCGCTGCCGGCCCCCTGCCAGGAGTGCTTACTCCGAAGGCAGCGCTTCTGGGAATGAGGACAGCTCTGGCTGAAAGCTCCAGGGAGCGTTTTTCCGCTCTCCGTCCACAGTCCTGCTGCTCACTCTCAGCGTGTGTTTCCTGCTCCTTCAGCCTGGGCTTCTGTGCTCATGAAGGAGTCTTTGTGCCCGAATCGGGAGTTGTGGCCAGGACAACCCCAGGAGGCGGGAAGTGTGATGTGCCTCTGCTCTCTGAGTCCTGGGCAGGTGGACGGCTTGGCCCAGCGAGGTCTGGGGTGTACAGGATGTTCTGTGTCTCAAGCCAGTGCTCCACACAGATGCATGCTTGCCGTGTGTGGCGCTGTCCCCACGAGGTCAGCAGGTGGTGGCAGAATGGCCTCTAATTCCTTGTCCTCTTTACAATTGGTAGGGACAGCAAAGCCCGGCGTCTCCACGGTACCAAACACAACGCAAGCGTCAACTCCTCCGCAGACTCAGACTCCTCAACAGAACCCTCCGCCCGTGCAGGCCACGCCTCACCCCTTCCCTGCCGTCACCCCAGACCTCACTCCACCCCCTCCCGCTCCAGCCCCCCAGCCTGTGCAGAGCCACCCACCCATCATTGCGGCCACCCCGCAGCCCGTAAAGGTGAGCATCCGGGTGTGGGCGGGCTGCTGCCACCGAAGACAGGTGGCAGGTGTCCCCGTCCTTGCTCCTGCCTTAGCAAGTGTCCTGTGTCAGAGATCTCCGGGGACTGCCCCTCCTCCGGGCCCTAATTTAGACGGTGCATACTCAGTGTACATGCATGCCATCGAAGCAGTCCCTGAGTCGGGCTCCCTGGGAGCACTGCGCAGGAGACAGTGTAGCGTGCAGATCGAGCGCTCGGCGGGATGCTTTCTCCTGCCTGCCATGTCCTGTCACAGCTGCAGAGCAGAGTAGTGGGTCGTGGTCTCCCTGGCAGACCTTTGCCACCCCCCCCACCCCCCATGCATCGGGACCCCAGACTGTGCCCGTCGTCAGGGGTGACCGTGCTGTCCTGGCCGCCCCCTCTGACACTACCTGTCACACCCGGCAGACAAAGAAGGGGGTGAAGAGGAAAGCAGAAACAACCACCCCCACCACTATCGACCCCATTCACGAGCCGCCCTCACTGCCCCCGGAGCCCAAGACCACCAAGCTAGGCCCCCGGCGGGAGAGCAGCCGGCCTGTGAAACCCCCAAAGAAGGACGTGCCCGACTCGCAGCAGCACCCTGCGCCCGAGAAGAGCAGCAAAGTCTCGGAGCAGCTCAAGTGCTGCAGCGGCATCCTCAAGGAGATGTTCGCCAAGAAGCATGCCGCCTACGCCTGGCCCTTCTACAAGCCGGTGGACGTGGAGGCCCTGGGCCTGCACGATTACTGTGACATCATCAAGCACCCCATGGACATGAGCACAATCAAGGTGGGCGGCTCCTCTCCACCCGCGCGGCCTAGGCCAGGCCGGTTCTAGAGCAAGGCCCCGGCCTGGGGTGCTCCGGGAGCTGCGGAGGTGTCCCCGTGCCCCCTGCTGGGAGCCATGGGGATGTCCATCCCAGCAGTGGGCCTGGCCTGGAAGGTTGCAGCCCACCATGCTGCCTTCTGCCCCTGCCCCTAGTCTGAGGAAAAGCAGGCAAGTCTCCCTTGTCTGGCGTGGCCCTGAGGGCGCCGTGCAATGCTAGATGTCCCAGGAGAGATCGGGGCTGGTGACTTTACCAGGTTCTGTTTGACAGAGAGGGCCTTGCTGCCCCCTCTGAGAGGCACAGCCTGAGTTGCTAGCATTTTCACTAGGGTATTTGAGGCCTTCCTGTTTTAAGATTTCTTTTTTTCTTTTTATTTTCTTTCTTTTGTTCATTCATTTATAGGTTTTGTTTTTTGGTTTGTGTGTGGTTTTTTGTTTGTTTGTTTGTTTGTTTTTTGAGAGGTTTTTGCTATAGGGTGCATGCGCTTTGCCAGAAAGAGAGAGAGACAGAAAGCAAGAAATCCCCCCCCCCCCACCAGGGAGGATGGCCACGCTGCAATCCCTTCTCCTCTTGGGATCTTGGGCACGCACACACACGCACCTAGTGTGAGTTCAAGCCACCGGGTCCGGGACATGAACCACGGTCGACTATGTGGGAGTCCAGCGACATAGCCATTATGCTAACTGCTGGTCCCAAGAACAAACTGTCTTTTGATTCCAGGAGACTATTTAGGTTTTCATTCTTTGCCTCTTCTAACAACTGCCCTGGCAAGATGTCAAAAGATAGGAATATATGTTAGCCAGGTACACTTGGGTCAGCGATTTCCTGTTGGGGTTGCCTGTCTCTGTCTCTCTATTAAAAGAAACAATAATATATATATATATATATATATATTTTTTTTTTTACAGGAGGTAACAGTTAGCTATATCAAACCTCGTCTCTTGCTAACTGCCCCAACATTAATTCTGATCATATTAACTCTGATTTGAGGCATAACAATTATTTGAGATTTCCAAATAATCTCAGTCATTTTCAGCCATAAAGTATTTCTTGGATCATTTAACAAAGTCATAATTTAGTCACCGTCTTCTTTCAGACAGAAAGCTTCACACTCTTTATCTTTACCATGTATATCCCTTACTTGTTAGGACTTGACTGAATGCTACAAAAAATAGGCTTGACAAATCTGTGTCATAGTCTAACTACTCAGATAGAACAGGCTATAGTTTAACTAATTGTTTTGGCAAGGCATAATAAATACTGTAATTTCTAAGCCAGAAATAGCAGGGTCCTCAGTGTACACTCTGCTCTATATCTTCAGTTCTGCAAGGTGCATATTTAAGGATCTGCTCCTTTTAGCTTCCCATTTAACAGAATCTTTCAATGTTTCTCTTATGTTAAATATTTTAGTCTTATGCTGCTGTGAAATATCAGATGCTTTTCGAGAAATATCAGATGCTTTTTGAGAAACTTGACTATATTTATAGAAATATCTTTCTATGATAATGAGATAGAACTTCAAGAAAGTCTTCCCTAAGCAGCTTAGCATGGATTTAGGTTCATGTGTCCTACAGAGCCACAGAGAGCAAGAGTGAGAGTGAGAATAAGAATTCTTTGCATCTAGCCCCAACATTTACCAGGATACTGTTCATAGCCACAATAGCCAGTCAGATAAACCAGTAGATAAATTGGCTATCAAAAATAAACTAGGCTATCAAAAAAATGAATCCAATCTTTAACTTTTCAAATTAATATGCAGTATCAAGATTCAGAATGAACAATAACTCAGAATTGGCCAAGAATACTGAATTATTCAGTTTTATAGCATTTAGGAATGCCTTTTTCTTCAAGTAATGGAAAAGCCAATCACAGTTATTAAATAAATTTCTTCTCCATGGCAAGGGGTCTAGAATGAGCAATTACTGACACTAATTCAGTCTGATAACATGGCCTGGTCATTATATTTACAAAGAATTTGTATTCCCTTCAAAGTAATAAGGATGTTACAGCTACAGCAATTACATACATTTTTCAGCAGCATAAAAAAAGGAAGGATTCAAAAAAAGATCCCATTACCAGAAAGGAAAAACTTTCACAGGAAAATCACACTTGGCCTCCATTTCTGTCTCATAGACCAGAACTGTGAAACATGGCCACGCCTGGATTTAAAAGCATGTAGGGAGCAGGGGCTTTGGAATATGGCTTTGGTCAGACAACACTGCTGTCCTAGAGCTGGCTTCCACAATTTCATAAGTGCTGCTAGTACTTTCAGGAATTCTGCAAACAAGTTGTTAAAACAGAGTCATTATTAAAATCAAATTGTAGGGCCAGCAAGTAGTGTGATGGTTAAGGCTCTGGATTCCCACGTGGCTGACCTTCATTTGAGTCTCAGACTTGGCAGCTTGAAGATCGCACTGGAAGTATGTGTGTGCATGCCCAAAATCCCAGGAGGAGAATGAAAGAGAAGGGATTATGGAGTGACATCCCTCTTGGATGGTAATTTCTCACTTTCCCTTCTCTGTGTTTCTCTCTCTCTCTCTCTCTCTCTCTTTTTCTCTCTCTCTGGCAAGCACAAACACACTATGGCAAAACCTTAAAAAAAAAAAATCAAATTGTAGTGGCTAAACAGTGGTGCAGTGGTAACATAACACTCTGCAAGCTGACCCATGCGGAAAGGTTCAGTGTTGGCATCCAGTGACCACCTTGCATGTGTCAGGCTCACGAGCGTGCCCACGATCTAACTAAGGCTGGGGGTGGATCATGGCACAAAGTCCCCATTGGTGTGCACTCACACTCTCTCACTATCTCTGTCTCATAGAAGTTTGACATATTTAGAACAGAATCAACTCACACTTGATGTTATATTGTATGTTTTCAAAATCTGAAGTTTTGGGGCAATGGTTTAGAGTACAACACTTTAGAGAAAGCACATCTGACTCACCTGTCAGGATGGTGAAGAAATACAAATATTATGGTGCACTTTATGGCTTCACCTACGTAACTAAACCAAGATAAGAACTTTCTTATGGCCTCGTCTCAGTAGGGCAGGTGGTAGGCCCCATTGTGGGGTACGGGAGAAACATGGGAAGCTCTGATCCTACGTTGACTTAAACACAAGGCATGGACTGGGCATGTCAGTGATCCGGGCTGGCTCAGAGGCCAGGAGGAGGATTGCAGTGTGGCAAGACCCTGTCAGGCATATGTGCCTGTTTGTCTGTCTGTCTAGCTGCCTCTCTGTTTATCTCTCTGTTTCATAAGAAAGAAAGAGAGAAAGAGAAAGAGAGAGAGAGAGAGAGAGAAAATTTCCTCAGAAGAATATGCCACTCCAATATATGACCTTCACAAAAGGAAAATGTGTATTATAAACAAACTGAACTTCACAAAATTTTTGCACCAGAATAAACTCATAATTTAATTCTATTTTTTTTTCAAAAAATTTTTCAGTCCCACTGTATAATTTTTTCTGGGGGGGAAGAGGTTTTTGGTATAGGTTGTGTGTGCTTCCCTAAGAGACAGAGAGAGACGGAGAGAGAGAAAGTGAGAAATCATCTCCCTGGGGTATACGGTCACATTGCAATCTCTTCTCTTCCATTCCCTTCCTGGGATTTTGGGTACACATGCACACACGCCTGGTATGAGTTTCAAGTCACTAGATCCAGGACTCAAGCTGCAATTAGCCATGTAGGAGTCCAACATCTTAACCACTACAACACCAAGACAGCTTTTGGAGCTTTCGGAAGTGCACAGAGCTGTAGTCAACTGAATGCATGGATAGGTGGATTTCAAGCTCACTGTGTGGTCTCAGGAAGCCAGGTGGGCTAGCACTACAGCCAAGGGCTCTAAGGGCAAGCTTTTGGAAAGACAGAAAGTGGAAGCCACAAGTCTCTGGAA